AGCCAACATATTAGGACTACCCTTGCCTCAGTACCTGTTTTTCATTGTAAAATTTTACTGATGAAAATGCTTACCATTGCTCATCGTTGACAGACCAAAGATTTTCCGGGAGAATATCGTAAGTCAGAGTCTAAGATTTGAATTTTAAAAGTCATGTTACATCCCATAGCTTTATAAGAATGTAGAAGATTAATGTAATAGTTTTCTGCTCTATGGTTACCAAACAATTTGCAAATTTTTGAAAGACTGTTTCACTGCTTTTTCCAGTGGATTTAACAGGTCTTTAAAATATTCATCAGTTATTAATAAGTTTACAATCCGAAGTCTCTTCTTTCAATTTAGAATCACTTTCTGTAGGAAATTTCGATTCAAGTGCAAAAATCCATCAGAAAGTTTATCCGTAGATTTCATGAACTTTTTCATTTCTTCTAATTTAATGTGCAATGGAGGTAAATATATTTTTAAAGATTTAATAAATGGACATGTAACACATTTCTGTCGTGAGGGATACGATATTTCTTATATATTTGTCAAACAAAAATAAGAATCACTTAGACGATCATTCAATTCTCTGCAAAAAATAATAGGAATTGCATATGTATGATGTGTACCATTTTTCTATCATAACAACAGTCTTAACACATAAAATATATGTTCGGGGCCTAGCTCTTTTCAAAATTACCAACTTGGCAGCCAAAGTAATGTTGATAACACATTTTTGCAAGTCGCATTAAATTTTGCCTCTGAGTCTTTCAAGTCAGCTCACTACAAATACAGTAAATTATAGGAAGAAAATACATAACCAGTAAGTATTCAGGCTAACAAGCTCATAGAACTCATATTGGCATATCACAATACCAGATTCTGAGCTTGTCAAAATATGAATGAACCAGCACAGGGTTGTTGGTGTTTCAACAGGATATTACATATAATTTACTTAAATACATGTAGTTTGAATGAAATCTCTACATATTAAGTAAATGATCCTATGACAAAGAGAATGTTAAAATCAGATTTTAAAAAGCAGTGCTCACAAAAAAGCTGTGCCTGATGGAAACATTATCAATATATATCTGAATTCAGTTTGAAAAGCAAACTAGATTCACTAATCAGATTTTTTGTGAAAAAAACCTATCAACCAGTGTAGTAAGTACCTACTAAGAACGTAAAAATGGTAAATTATACAATTCTATTGTCGAGGAATTCATTTTCCAAACTTGCAAAAAACAATTAACATTTTGAATACTGCTAAGTTATTTTGAATAAATAGACGTACAAGGCAAACACAAATCGTAACGTATCCGTTTTAAAGTTCAGAACATTAGGCATTAGAGAGTTCGTGAATTAGAGCATGTCGTGAATTTGAAAGACCGAACACGACAATTCTGGAAAGAATTCTTCCGCGCATGCACCGGCATCCAATGACGGGATTTCTATTGACGGGTCGCGTTATTCTCCCCGATTTGTCGTCGAGGACAAATATTTTCGTAGTTTACACTTTAAGTAGTTTTCGCCTCCACCACTAAACACAAATTCGACCCTAATTTACAGACAGAATAGAAATAATAAATTTTACAATATTCACAGTATCAATATAATACGGAAGGAACTTCATGGTTAATTTTTAGAAAAGTTCATTCAAATTCGTTAGGAATAAACTAAAAAATAACTTTAGGATTTGGAGGTGATGTGTACAGTAAGGCTACATTGACTGTCACGAAAAAAAACAGTTGTATATCTACAGTGTGATATAATTGCAATAATTTCCCATTACTAAAATAAACAAAATAAATGTGTTGTATTAAAATTGGGGGTTACATTCTATGCCTATCTAAATGCTTTACTTTACTTTAGAGATAAAGACGTGTATTTTACATATTCGTATGATTCAATCAGATTTCATGTATTATCCGTATTTCTAACTGGTAATCCTTATAAAAGCAAGAATAGAGTCAGAAGATAAACAAATGTTCAATAGAAGCTCTATTAGAGGTTTCCAGTTCCAACTAGGTCCTAGTTTTACGTATGTTTTCGACAAAACGCAAACGACTTGCAAAAACTCATTTTTCTGAAGATATTCTGAAATTTTTTTCCTATTGATGACAATTATTACGAACTACGGCGTTCGCTTACCTGACTTGCAAAAACTCGCTATTGCTTCATATTTAATGAGGCAAACCGTATTAGGTCTCTGTTTCTTGACCTTCAGAATTCCATTATACATAGCACTCATTTTAGGATATAAAGGAACATTTACTATCCAAAATCAAAGGATGAAATTCGCAATGAAGATAGGTACATTCATTCACAAAGGCTTGCATGTGTAATTAAAATAATTTACCAGTTAACAGTTTTTCTACTGTTATTCCTGTCACTATTTCAGAAATATATTATCATATATTCAAATATTCACCTCATTGGCAACTTTCTGAAATCAATTCGATATTTAGCTAAATAATTAAATTTTCTGCAAACTTACATAATTTCGCAAACTTACTAGTGGTATTTTAATAATTATTTCCCTTTTATAATTAACCAACCATTACACGATATTCAAGAAACTTTCGTCAGAATTTTTATGTAACTTGAGTTGACGTTCATCTCTTTGTCTTTTATTTGCGTCAGACAATAGCATGAAGCTCACCTCTGCCATGTTCCGCAAGTAAAGCCTGTCCGCCATATTGGTGTGCCCAAACGTCTGTCAAATACGATAATAGAAGGGTCGTTCCGAATTTTTAATAGAATTGAATAATATTCAATTATATTCAATAATAAATTAAATAATAAATAAAACGAAGAAGCTTCATTGCAAATTTTGGAGTCTCTGTATAGTATTTCTACTGCTTGAACCCAAAAAAACCTCAAACTTAAAAGGTCAAGAATACTTAATTACTAAATGTGTTTCTTCTGTCTTTGCGATTTCTCACACGATATCTCTTTTATTAAATAAAAACAAACAAACTTTTCACTGCTGACATTCCGAAGGAGTATGTAATCCACAAAATATTACGAAATATTATTAGTATTAGTGTGGTCACAATGTTCGAATTCTGGTTACCATACCAACTACATGATTAAAAAAGCCCATTGTCTTACTCTAACGTTAGTTTTTATTTCACTATTTCCTTACATAACAATTAAGTACTCTCATCCGAAGTCAAAAGGGCAAGTCCTAAAGTTTGGAGTTAGTAGATGGGTCAGTGATACAATTGATGTCAATATTTTGCAAAACTTTGGCGTTTCTTTGTTTGTTATTTGATTACCCCTGATATTTTATTTCACGCCAAAAAAGAGTTAAAAACTGTGTGTGGCGTATCATTTGTAGAAGTGCATCGTTTCTTGAGCTCTGGGATTTCTATTCGAACTCATATACATATGTGTACGAGGTCGAATAATAAGTACAGGTAGAAACGATCACTTTTTTGCAAAAATTGATATGAATATTTTCGCTCCGGGGTAATAAAAACTCTTTGCAAAGGCAAATGAGCTACATATTTGAGCTATTATTCTTTTTCGTACCCATTGTGAAGGTATTGACTTACTGGCGAAACAGCATGGCGAACGATTATTTGAATAACTATAATCTCCACTCAGCTCAAGAACACAGGTTCACAGGTAGTGAAGCTACAATCAGAGGCGTAGATACGTACTCGTGTGCTCCCTTGCAGGGGTCCCATACTGCCAAAGCCAAACGTGAAACCGGAGTTTTAAAGCCAGTTTAAGTAGGTTCGCATTATATTATGTTGTTGATTTAACCTTAGATAAACAATTTTTCTTTCTCAATATTTATACAAATCTGAAGAAAATCGGTATCAAATAATTCGATATTAAGGATTTAATTAATTCTTTTATTTGTTTAAAATCTTACTCCCCCAATTATCATTACAATATTAATACACAGAAGAAACAAATGATGAACCACCACAGGAGATTGGGGCCCCTATCGTTGGTACTTTATTCAATGTACTAACAAACTAAAAAACAAAGTACCTAAAACAATTTCGTATACCTGTTTACAATTGACTTTTATCTATATTTTTCACAATAAAACTGTTTCAATGTTAAAGAGATAATGAAATGTGATCTCGACTTCGGCAACTTCCTCGCTAGATGATGAAGGTAGATGAGAGGGGGGAGAATGAAGAGCGTACATCCGCTGTTCCGTTTTTCGAGAGAGGAAGTGGAAAAGGTTGTTTACTTTCTCTCTCTCTTCTAGATGTACCACCAGTGAACCTCACATTAATGGATACAAGGTCCAAAGACATAGTTCCACAGACTGTTCAAGTAGTACTGACATGTTCATTCTGCGAAGTAAATCGGTTGAAAAAGTTTTATATCACAAAAACTGAACAAGTGATGTAAGCAGTTTTTGAGATAAAATATTTATTAAGTGCATTAACTTCAAACAAAATTTACGCGAAAACTACTCGTTTTTCAATGAATATTGCGTGACCTTATTTAAAGATCTAATTTCTTAGAACAGATTTCATTTAAGAAAAAAACGCATCATCGATATTGTACTTTTACAATGTTATTTTTTTCAGTTTTCGAATGTACAAAGAGGTTTTCACTCTCCTTTGTGGATTTTTTTCCACAAGAAATTATACATGGCCTTTTTAAAGTTGGTGATATTTAAAACGGACGTTTTACGAGATTATTAAGACAAAAATCCCTATATTCAGTTTTGTAATTTATAAAAATTAAAATTATGCAATTTTCGAAAATACAGTTCCTCGGAAATGAGAAAAGCATGTATATTTTACAGTCCTTTGAAGCACACTTGAAGAAAATATAAAGACAAAATTAGAAGAAGTCTTGTAGAACACAAGTTAATAAACATCTTTATCTGACGTACAATATTATATGTATTTTTAAATTGCAAGGAAATTATTATTAAGGTTTTAATTTTCTTTATCTATGCATTAATATAATTTTCTATTTATCTATCCATTTCTTTACATTTTATTTTATTTATATGTAAATAAAAATCTCTTTTACAGACGCATTAGGAATCAGGAGGACCGGACAAACGATGGGGGCGAGTGGCTTGTGGCTGTGGGCAGTGGCGGCGGCGCTGCTTCTGCTAGGCGGTGGGGGCGGTGGCGCAGGCGGGGGCGGCGCGTCAGGGGTGGAGGCGGGACGTGTCCTCGGCATCTTCTACTTTCCCGGCCGCAGCCACTTCGTCGTTATAGAGAAGCTGCTCAAGGAGCTGGCCAAGCGGGGTCACCAGGTGAGACCCACGGCGCTTACGTGTTCCACCACCCCAGCCATCACTCGATTCATTGTTTATTTCGTGTTTCAGAGTGCGCCAAACGTTATTGTTAATAGTACAGTAAGTGTAGTGCATTTTTTATCACAGGACGTGGCGGTGTTCTTACCTTGCTGGCTGGTGCGATCCGGTGCCAATCTACACGTCGATTTGCGGGTTTTCCCTTAACCAAGTATCTTCCACCAGCAGGACACTCGCCCCAAACAGGACAAGCTCTAAGCTTCCGACTGGTAAACCCACCCGATATGTGTGGTATTGTAGTGCACGTAAGTGTGAGTGTGTGTACACGAGTGTGTGTGTGCGTTCGCGCATGTGTATCTGTGGGCGTATGTAAGGGGTGAGTACAGGCCAAGGAAGACTCTCGTGCAGTCAGTGCACTGTTTGTAAAGATACTGCTCTGGAATTCACCTCGGAGCAGTGTTGATCGGAGAAACCGGGGAAAACTACCAATCAGAGCAGTCGGCCGCTAGAATACTCCTGGCAGTGATTGAATACGACGTAGGTATCAAGCTAGTGTCGGGATTAATAGGGGTCTCACATACACCAGCCCTGATGGGGAATTGGAATCTCCTGTCTGAGTGCTCAGATTGGCGGTAGTTCCCTCACCGTTAGCACAAAGAGGACTACAGTAAGGGGGCGAGTTGTGACCTCTGCCTCCCCCCCAACCTGCGTGTACTAATTAGCTAAAATGTTCCCAGTAGTTGTAAGTTACTTTCGCGTTTTTAATTTTTATTCTAACAGGTGGATACAAGTTTCATACACTGACTAACAGCTTCAAAAACTAGCTGCTTTGTGGATGAGTTTGTTCACTCGTGTTGCCCAACATCAACTGCATTATTCCTATAGTTCCTTTTCGATCCCTTTAGTTTAATAGTTCACTATAGCGCCTTGACTCGACTAAATAAATAATGAGTCTGGTTATACTCCAAATTCAATTATAGAACTTAAGCAATTTGTAAACTTAAATATATGCGAAAATGAATAGTACCTTTTAAAATATGAACGAATCTTTGTATATGTATTTTATAACAATCAGACATCTAGATGAGATTCATTTGATTACAGGTGGATGTGGTGAGCCACTTCCCTCAGGAAAAGCCTCTGCCCAACTACAGGGACTTCAGCTTGGCTGGGTCGTATCCCAGCATGGTCAACCTTTGGACCTTCGAGCTACTTCAGAGCTTTCATTTCTTCAAAATGATGACTTGGATGTGGGATGAAAACGTCGAGATCTGTAGAAAGGTGAAGTTTTATAAGTTTATTATTATTATAATTATAATATATAATTTAACACTTCATTCAAATATTTTTACTACACGAAAGTGCACCACTCTCTCTACAACAATTTCGCTGTGGCCGCGAACATAAATTAATATTGATCTTTTTACAGTAGGCAAAAGTGCTGTTAAAATGACAAGAATCTCTGAATGATACTCAGATGCCGTCTGTATGCTTATTTCCCTCACAATTTCCCTGTTAACAAGTTCTCCCTGGTCGCCGTGACTTTGACATAATTTCCGGCGCTTTCTCGCCGTTACCTCCCGCAGCTGCGTCCTCCGTGCTCCAACGCTCGACCTTGAAGCGCTCCGACGTAGACGGAGACTCGATGTCTACGGAACCTCGCCCATACATGCTGCCTTCGGCCTCCGCGCAGCCGATCGCTGGGCCGAGGTCGCCGGTGACTTCTCGCTGCCCTCTTGCGTTGTCTTCTGCGCCGTCTTCCGGGTCGCCTTCTCCCGTCTCCTTTCGTCGTCATCTGCTTAGTGCCCCACGATATCCAGTTTACGCTCGCATGCTAATGTTTCTTGCACTGCACTGAAGAACTCGTGCGTACGCGTTGCTCTCGCTCGCATTGTACCAAATTTCACCGCTGATTGATCATTGTCCTCAGTCCCACAATAACTGGTAGACTAGATTAACTCCCCGCGTCCTGTCTGAAGAAATACTCTATTCCAGAAAAAATCTAACAAAGTTCGTGGCCGGCTATCTAGGCGCCTGTCCGACATCTGACACTCCTACCTAGTAACTCGGCGAAGTTGTTGATGGATTGGCGGTCAAGAACTGATGAGAGTGCTGCTGGCTCGGCGAACGGGAACGATAAAGAATGAACGACCATGGGCTCGCCTATTTATGCATGCGTTCTCCGTGTAGGGGTAGTGCGCGTCATCTTCCCTCTCCAGTCTGACTGCTTCTACTTAGTATTCCTGCGCCGTGTCGCGGACATCACGCGTAACAAAGTTTTAGGCTGCGGGCGCGCCCTTTTCAAACCGCGCTGCGCTTGCTCACCCGGTCTACCACAGACGTTTTATTGATGTATGGGCGTGTGGGAGGAATGTAGTCACTCGTGTTCGCCACAATACTTAGTGACAGGTAGAAGGGAAGTTTATTTTGAAGAAAAAAACGTATTTATATGATTGTAAGTCACATTCGATGAAATAAGCGCATAGCAATTAATATTAACAAACAAAAAAGAAATAAGTACTATATTAATTATATTTTTTACGAAAGTCTTTCAGATGTTGAAGAAACTAGGAGAAGAATATTACCGATGTAGATGAAGGGAGTTGATTAGAAAACCGGACATTTTTGTTAAATGTTTTTTTCTTATTAATAAAACTTCAATGAATGTTTAGTTTAAAGTTCAAAGTAACTAATGGTAAGTAAAATAATAATTTAGGAAATTATAATTCATGCCATACAATATCTTATTCTAAACGATTCTATCTTTACAGTTGGGAAAATCTTTCTTAAAGCTCATTATGCAAAAAGGAAGTGTTCTTGAAATTTTGCTGCACTATCACTGAGAGAAGCAAGCTCTTTTCTGTAGATTAACATATTTTCCTTTTAATTACAGTACCATGCAACCGATTATGTAAACAATAATCATTTTTTTGTGTCCTCCAAATGCCTAACAAAAATACTTGTACGTCAAGTATTGAATAAAAAGAATATTTTCGATTCTGTAAATTTGCCGAGGCATTATTTAAATTAGCATTAAGATTTGTAAGCAACACAAACATGTTTTGGTCAAATAGTTATTTTGATATAATAGTTCGTGAAAAAAAAATTTACTCAATGTGACACAATTTACATATCGTGAACTATCTGATTCAATAACTAATTCCTAATATTTAATGATTAAAGACTTTTTCGTACGTAGTGTTTAGAATTGATGCTCATACATTCTGAATGAAGGTTACGAGTCTATTTTGCCTTCTGCATTTTGAAAAGCTGTTCTACAATTTACATTAATGGATTGACTGCACTTAACTTCCTCTTTATCATAATTACATTTTTAATAAGTTGATTGTAGAGATGTATGTGTGTTAACACGTATTTTTCTACAGAGTTTTGAAAATGCTGGCTCCACGTTTAGACTAAACACTTAAGAGAAATCACAAAAATGCTTTTCGATGAAGCCATGGAAAATGTTATAGATGCATAAATAAACAGGAAGCGCTACTAGAAATAGAAGATGAAAGTTCTAATGCAAAACCGCAGGCTTATAGAAGATAACAAAACAAGCGATTAATGAACTAAAGTAAGAAAAGCAACACAGAAACAATAAATGCATTTAGGAGAGAAAAGGAAGACCAACTATAATACAGATTTGTAGTTGGTCTAGGTTTAAACTTTATAAACGACACTGTAAAAAATTTCAGAGTCAAGAAACGAATTGAAACCGCAACAAAACGCAACTGCTTCCACACTATGATCTTCAGTATATCATCGAAAGTAAGATATCGAATTTTCTAAATTTTATATCGTTAAACGAAAAATAATCTCTCCTCACAAGATATACCATAAGTAAAGTATTCACAAAAATGTATGTTGAAGCTGAAGGCTTAGAAATGCAACTCTTCAATCACGTTTTGGGAGGGTATTTTTTCCCATTCTAGTTTGAACTCTCCTTTCTTTCAGAACATGTGGATCTTCTAAAGTAACGGAAAACTTATCAGGTTGCAGGAAATATTAATGAAGTTTCCTGGAAAGTCTGCAGAAATACCTGCAACAAATGGCAAATCACTCAGATCTCAAGTTTCATTGGAGATTTATTTGAGATTATTTCTGATTCTTCCTAGTTCATATAACACTTTAATATGAGAATGTCACTTTCAAAGAGATTAAGCACTTTGGATATATCACAAAAGTGCTTTACAATGAAGCTATGGAAAATGTTTTAGACACATAAATTATCGAAGGACCATGATGAAACATAGCTCGCCACAAATTCGGCAAAAAATGTCTCGTTTATTGTCAAAAAAGAAGACTATATACACACTTTCTTAGTTAATTACTTTACTAAACATTTAAAATGTACACTAATAAATTACAATTTTGCGTTTAAATTATTTTATACAGTTTGATCTAAAGCGTACTTGTTGTGCAAATGTAAGTGTTGTTTAATTACTTTTGGTTTATTCAAGACGTAATAAAAATATATAGATACTTCAACACTTGTTATTGCAATCTGGGACATTTGCAAGCTCAATAACGTGTTTACAATTGAACAGAAATTCTATTCCTGAACATTCTCTCACACATAATAAACGAAAAAAGAGTTTTGTAGGTTAATATATTTTTTTCATATTGATGGCATATTGAACGAAGAGACAATACACTATAGAATTCATAAAAATACACAGAGTGTAAGAATGTACCACACTAACTGAGGTTGTTTAGCTAAATTGCAATGTATTTGAAGGATGTCCTAATAACACGTTCTGAACGTGAAAGGTAACGTATTTATTAAGTACATTTTATGGTCTCAAAAAATTAAAATAATAATGTACTTCTTATGTATACAATTATTATGAGTATATTTGCCACACTTAGGCAGAATATATACGAGTAATTGACAATGGCAATTTGTGTGAATGTCCTAAATGCGACGGTCGAATGGACCTGAAGAGATAAAGGCCTCTTCACACGGGCGATATGTTGGACCAACCATCGGGACAATGAAATTGGTCCCTCGGCTACACACTGTCCGACCAACAACCCAATTTAGTAGTGCTCGGAGTTTTGAGAAGGCAACATCTATGCGAGCATGTCGGAAATATGAGGAAACTGAAGCGCTATTGGTGGATTGTTGCAAAGTGATTCCGGACCTCGGAAATCTGGCCAAAATGAAATTTAGAGATTTTTATGTTCATGATAGTTAACATCATTTACATAGTTATAGTCATAGTGTTAAAATGCAGTTGAAGAACATAACTTTTGTACTCATCTTCAAAGGCCAGTTCGAAAGCTAACCACGGATTCCGAGTTCTATTATGGCAGCGAGAATACGATCAAATTATTAAAATTCTTGACATAGTTTATTTACAAATATGACTGAAAGTAAAATAAAAGATTTTGTCTAAGTAAATTCTGAATATTTGTTAACTACTGAAGAGAAAAAAATGAATGAAACATTTAAAAAACAACAAACATAATTGTGCTACAGTACATAATTCTACGGTCAAATTTGCAATTTACTATATTCACGTGTATACTTCAAAATCACATAAGTTGACTCATCTCGCTGCAACTGTATTGCTGGAACGTGATTGAATAAATTAGTTTTTAAGCCGTTTAATAATGTTTTTCTTATGATTTTGATCGGAATTGTTACAGTTTATGTATGAAAATTGACTTTTATATCTGTTGCTTTCATTCTCTTAATTATTGTCAAAATTAGCTTACATTACCAATTTTGAAAAGAAGTTTGCATTTCCTGTTTTATTTATTTTTCTGCCAAATGTGATCCGAAATTTTATTGAAATTTTCGACTTCATATTCGTAATCAGCAACCTCCAAAATCCTTAAATACCAGAGAATTTTCTACATAAGCAACTGTTTCACAATTAAGCCAGTGTTTTGATGTCTGGAATCACTGTAAATTGATCCAACACTTCTACACACTACAAAATTTGTCTGGCAGTAAGTGGGGGAATCGGCGGAAGGGTGGTCAGCATCAACCAACCGCCCGACCGAAATTTCTGTTGTACAACTTGCCTCCACACGATGCAATTTGTCGGCTGGGCTCGTCGGTCGTCCAACAAATTGGTACGTGTGTAATTGTTTACCCTCAAAGGAAACGTCCGTGAATTGTTGCCACGACGAATACCGTGCATGAATACCGTGCATGTTGGGAAGGACAGACAAATCAACGCTAAACATATTACGTAATTCATGCATTATATGACCGTTAAAATGAATTGTGAAGGGGTTTACTCGTGAGATGTTCATAGAAAGAAAAACAATTGTGTAGTGATTGTATCGAGCTCAGAGTAATTGAAGAGACTGTCCCGAAGTCTGCAGTTCACCTTCGGCATCTAGCAGATGGATGTACTTGAGTATTACTCACAGTATGTTGAGTAATGAAGCCCAATGAAGCGTTAACTAAGGTCCAGCGCAGTGATAATGAAAGAAATGGTTGAATAAGCATGTTTGTATGTGCGTAACTATAGGCTGATTGACGTCTTGTGGCCTTTGCAACCATCTCTTAGGCGCGTCGGGAACTGCCGGAGGCGACACACTCATAAAAGTAGATGCCTTCCTACGTAAATACGTGTATTGGAAATAATAATTATTTTGAGTATGTACATAGAATGTCTTTATTGTCGTTTGTATTATGGAAAGATGCGCACGTGTGAATCAGTATTTTATATTTACTTTAGACCGCATAAAAGTTGTTATTGACAATGACAAAATCAGGATTCTTTAATTTACTTCACTCGATTCAAGTGTGCCTAGCAATCGTAATTTAAAAACAAATTGAAGTTGGCTTGGGAAATATAAAAACCAACTTAGTGTCGCCGTGACCAATTCTGTCCCGCATAACCCTCGTGAAAAAATGTAAATAGTTGTTAAGAAAATATAACTTTATTACCGAGATTCTTGAACCGTTACCGACCAGCAGTATTATATGATGTTACCGATTGACTTTAGCTCCGAATCACCAATATATCTGCAGTGTCTCCAACCGGAAGATCCTAGGGTTCCAGCCTCAACGGTGTCGGGATTCTCGACACTAGCTACATAGCAAAGTCGAATTCGACCGTAATCTAGAGAAGAAATATAGCTGCCGGCTACTCTGACCGGTTGTCAGATCAATCAATATTGGCAAATTTCGAAGAAGTATCCGCACAAACGGTGACGAACCACGCGCAATCTCTAATTCCTTTCCCTTGCCATGACCTCTCTGTTCACTCATTAATTTACACTCACATGTAGTACACTCTTATTGAGAGAACAGTCGGACGCTCAAAGTTTGTCTCGCCTGCAACGAAGCCCCGCTAGGGAGATATTTGGAGGAGAGTTCCCTTGAAAGCCAATGTATTTCAGTGCCGTGTCTCACCATTCAGTTGGGGAGGTAGCACTGCTGCGATAAAATATTCACTATACTTAGGGGACTAATGACCATAGCAGTATTCAATCTTGGAAATTTCAATCAAACCTACGATTATTGTATTGCAGAATCCCTAGTGTGGACTTGAGTGTGATCCGTTTTTCCTCAGCAGAATAACTGATGTTTCTGCTCATTTGCAGGTTATGGAGCACCCCGTGATGAAGCAACTTGCCGAAAGTCGAGAGAAGTACGATGTGGTCCTGGTGGAGGTGTTCGGGGCCGACTGCGCTTACGGTTACGCCTACAAAGTGAGGCTGGCGCCCTGTCATCGGGATAACGACGCTGGTGGGGGCTGCCGTGGTCAAGAGCGCGTGGCAATCCAGAGAACCCGGCGTAACGTGCCCGGGTGCCCAGCTGCCCTTCCAGTCCGATTGTCGTCTGCAGCGCACCCTCAACACCCTGGGCAGTGTATCGCCGTGTGGGGGAGAAGCTGCGCGGGCGGCCGACTCAACGACCAGTTGCGCGCCGAGCACTGGGCGCAGATATGCCTCCCCTCAAGCGACAACTCAATCGAGCGCAACACCAGCCTCTCATGGTCAACAGCCACTTTCAGCCTCAAAGGGCGCGCGACCGCTGTTGCCCGGCTACGTGGAGGTCGGGGGCATGAATGTGGATCCTAATCCAGAACCGCTGCCCGAGGTGATTCGAACGATAAACTTCCCTCTTCTGTTCGTTGCTTCTTCTACGTTATTTTCTTTGAATTTTCAATTATATTTTTTTCTTTTCCTTGCATGATTATTGTATAGTTCTTTTTCATCCTAACTTACAAATGAGAAAGAGAACGTGAACGTGAAAGCAGAAAAGACTCATTTGAGATAACGTAATTGACATTCACAACCCTGACGGGACTATTGACCATCTTATCAGGAAATCAATAACACTATTAATATTCACGTGTCTCTTATTGTTCATTCATGATTGTTCTATTTGGCCCTTTAGTTTTTAACAGTCCTTTATTTTAACTATTGTAGTGTTTACATAATAACATGTTTCATTCTATATTAGGTTTTATTGCAACAGTTTCGAGGAACTATTTGTCCTCATCATCAGGCTATAAAAATAATATTTACATTGACAATGGAGAATATCAGGTTAAGAACATAAATATAATACAAAATAGACAAATTCATACGTTAGATTTTAAACTAATAATTACTCTGTTAAAAACTAAAGAGTCAAATAGGATAATCATAAACCAATCTGTCGAACTGACAGGGTTTTATTAAAAGTTACCTCTCACCAAAACAATTTATCTAGGCGGGCAATACCTCACTGGCTGGAAAATCTGCTCCAGGATATAGCATGCTTTCTGCAATCATATCCGTCGCTTTTTACGATTGGGATACTGCACGTCACGAGAAAATTTAGCATTGTGATTTCTGTGCCATTATTGTTCTATGTGCGGGTTTCTTGCGTACATTTAATCCTTGCAATGTATTCTCACAGTAGGTGTCATCTATCGGTGTGGGAGGCCACAAACAACAAATAAGTTTCTTTCGTTGCTATTCACCGCGGATTCCGTGGTATTAGCTCCAGAGAGGATCAGGAAATGACGTGCCTGAAGTGCACTCCAAACGAGGGGCAGAGCTTCAACATGTGTAAGATTCGTAATAAGCGACGAAAAGCATTGCGGAAAGCACGGGACCAGCTTGAAAAGCCTCGTCCGCCGAGAGGAATTTGCGTGGCAGCCGCTGCTTTTAGTGTTGTTGTTTTGCACCACCCCCGAGCGCAGTCCTGAACGGAGTGGTGTGGTGTGGTGCGCAGCCCTTCCGGTCGTTCCTGGACGGCGCGGGCGCGGCGGGCGCGGTGCTGGTGAGCTTCGGGTCGCTGGTGCCCGGGGAGAAGTTGCCCGCCAAGCAGCTGCAGGCCTTCTTGAAGGTGCTGGGGGCGCTGCCGCAGCGCGTCGTCTGGAGGGTCAACGCCACCCGCGTGCCCGGCGGCCTCCCGCGCAACGTCATCGGCTCCACGTGGATCCCGCAGCAGGCGCTGCTCAGTGCGTAGCACTTCGACTCATTACGGACTACACTGAGTAGCTTGTGGTGCTGCAACATCACATTTGTTCTCACTTTTTTTTTCAAAATTTACACTTCTCCAAAATTTTGAGTTCAACGATAATGACAGTTGTGCAGTTATTTAAAACTTCCTTTGTTTCGTGCGTGAAAAACATTAAAAAGTAGAGCGTGTTTTAAGAAAATATGTATTTTATAAATGGCATTTATTTCAAGCAGAAATTACACGAAAACGATCCATTGTAAAAAAAAATTACCTGGCCTTTTTTAATGAGCTTATTTTTAGAACAGATAGAAACTTTTGCTTTAAACAAAATTTGCTCTAAAAAGTTTTGAAAACACGATTGCTTTATCGGAATTTCTGCTTGCAATTAATTCAGTTTATAGAAATCACTTTTTTTCACACACTGCTTCAAATTGTTTTCAATTGTCATCTACGGATATAACAAGGGATGCTTAAGAGAATCACGAGTCATTTTCGTTCAACTCTCTGAATTTTGAAATTACCAATTTAGATGTAACTCGAGAAAGTATGTGTTGGTGGAACAGAACTAATTATTTAAGATACATTGACAACTTCAATTTTTTAAATTGATACTTTTAGATTTCTAGAGCTCAAGATAACGAGATGAAGGCACGCGTTCGTACATTCGACGGACATATTTTCGATAAATGTAACTTTCTTATCATCACGCCGGCTCTTGATATTCTGCCACTACAAAAAGGAAACGCCTTGCAGGGCAATTCAGTTGTAATGCTTGATGAGTGGGAAAGATTGCAATGTCGAGATCGGTGCTGAGAGGCCACGAAAACATCGAGTCGCTCCGAGACAGCTCCCTTACAGCTTGAAGGCAATGCATTCAGCCACAGCTTCCTCCTTACTACGTCATTCTACTGTTTGAAATTGAAATAGTTCAGTTAGATCAAAGAGAGCACAACAAATACCTGATATCTAAAAAACGCCGTCGCGCATTTTTGCTTGTCCAGGCCACACCGAACAATGCGCGCGTTTCGTGACGCCACGCGGCCTGGGCGCGACGCACAGGCGTTGCACTGGGGCGTGCCCACCGTCACCAATCCCTTCTCTTCAGCGACCAGACCAGAACGGTTCCTAATGCAACAGCACGGGGCCGGGCGCTGCTTCCCGTTTGACCCACATCAACCGAGGACTGCCTTCCGCCAGGCGCTGCACGCACGTTCCTAAACGACCCCAGGTGAGCGCGACACCGCCTTCCGCTCTGGACATGCTTAGGTGGTTCAGGGAATTAACTGATGTCAATGCAGTGTCTTCGACCGTGAGGCTCTTGAGTTCGTGTCCCGACGGCATCTTCCGGCGGTGGTGATTTTCGATAGTAGTTACATACATAACGAGCTCGAATTCAGCCGCTGTCTGGAGGAAAATTCTATCACGTGTTTCTCTGAAGGGTAGTTTTCCATGGTTTCTAGATCAGTGCCCTGACAAATGGGCCATGGACAGCGCGATCTTAATTTTCTATTCCTTGTCCTAAGCTCATTCCTCACACACACACACACACGCACACACACACACACTTACCTCTACTACACCACTACACTTGCCGGTTAACCAGTCGGAAGCTTAGAGTTAGACCTCACTGGCGCGGTACCACGCTGGTGGGAGATAACTGGTTAGGGAAAACAACATCAGTCGACGTGTAGGTCGGCGCCGGATCTCGCCCAACAGCGTTGGAAGATCACTCCATCTTCCGAATTAAATATGCATTACACTTACGGGAGATATGTCCTTAGCAGTTGACGCACGGAAACAGCAATCAATTATTCTCTCTCTGGGGCCCTCACAGCTGTTTGGAGCAAGTGCAGAAGCTGAGTGATCGGTATGATTTGTTTTAACACGAAGGTGATTGTCTGCTATTCAGGGAAAGTGCTTGGTGGATGAGCGAACACTACGGCTTGTCGTGTAGCTCGTTTATGTCAGGAATACAGAGTAAAACAGTGTAGTGTGTTCTGAGACAGAAGGAGAAACAGGGAGTTGAGCAGCATGACTCGCTCTGAGACAGCGTTGTTGCAGTTACAGGCACAGAACAGTGTGGTTTGTTCTGAGAGACCTTTGTTGCCGCTGATCGAAGAGGAATCAGCGGCTGAGCGAGCAGTCGCGAGCCGGGCCGCAGGCGCGCTGGAGACGGCGTGTGGTGGACGCAGTACGTGATGCGGCATTCGCGGGCGCCACCCACCTTGCGCTTCCGCCGCCGTGGACTCGCGTTGGCCGCAGCTGTGGCTGTTGGATGGGTGGGGGGCGGCGCTGTTGGGCCCAATCTGGTGGCTGACTTACTACTTCCTGGGCTTCCAATTATCGCGCGCCGTCCTAATTGTTTGTTCTCTAAAACAAACGACAGAAACAGCAGAAGAAGAAGGCCAAAACGAACTGACCGAATTATCCATGTCTTGAATGCTGTATCTGAAGTTGTTTTGAAAGCCATAATCCAAATCGCATTACCTCCGTTAATTAACGTCATCTCGGGGAACGTTGTTCAAAATGGTGCAGCAGGTCAAACGGGGATGTTCGGTTTCTTACTAATAATGGATACTTAGGGTGGCCAAACATGGTACTACATGAGAGGACCTGTCAAACAGGTTGAGAGGAGTTGTTGATACGTGTGCGTGTAATTGTTTTACGAAAGTTTCAATGTTTTTGTTTGAAACCACTACGATTTCATCTATCTTATTGGATCTTAACAAGATACCTTTGTCATTCACTTTTGCTGCGTAAACCATTGATTCTCCTAATTATAAGGTACATTTTAAAATTTAATTTATTATGTTATCTTTATTTGTTTGCTAGCGGTCTTCATGGCTCGCTCAAATGGGGACATTGAAGCAGCCAAAAAAGGGGACGTTTCCATTTTGAACAATTAAGCAGAACTTAAACCAGAAGAACGAAAAAAAAATAATAAACAAGAAAGCTCTGTTCAAAAAATGAAGTGAACATAATGCGCCTAAAACGCAAAAAGGGGGAAAGGAAAGCAGGGAAACCGTGATCCGAACAAGATTGCTGATGATGCTGTCTCTTCTGCAATGAGCTTTAGGCAAATTCTAAGTGCATGGAAAGCTGGTTAGAGAGTGGTACCTGCAAAGGTTGGACACACGAAGCCTGTTCCAATGCTGAAGTAGGGATGACACCTTTCTTTGTAACTTTTGCGCGTGATTTCAGCCTATTTTGTTCCTATACAAACTAGAATGTTATTAAAAAACAAATTTAGCAACTGACAAGATTTTTTTCTTATGTTTCCTACTTGCCCAAGTTTACTGATTTTGATTATTGAATTTGTAAATGTTTTGTAATAAATGCCTTCAATATTTGTCCATTTTAATGTGAGTACCTCAGTTTGGCTCAGCGGTTGACCAAAACGGGGACATTGCACTTTGCAAAAACGTGCTTTTCCATTGAAGTACATATTTTTGTAAACATATAAACCATTACAGCCAAACATCTGACAGTCTAAGTTCTACTTAACATCGAAATGTTTTTCAGACTGTTTTTTACTGATAATTTAGTTTGTTATAATTTAAAACATGTTAGTGTCCCCATTTTGTACGCTTTTGCCCTACTGTTTTATGTTTCGTCAGTGTTCTATAGTTGTTTATTTACAAATATACCACAATATGAGAAAGCTTTATGCGTCTTGCATGACTTTACCAAGGCCAGCTGGTGCTGGAGCAGTTGCATACTTGAATCATGTTTCCAAGGTGGGATTAAGAGGGCCGAGTGGAATTTTGTCCTGATCTCGAATCGTATTTCAGTCAGTGACCCCAAAATAAGGTTCTGGAGTAGGTAAAATATGTAAGCAAATGTAAAATACTGTGATTCCTCTCTCTCTCCCCAAAACTTCTTTCAACGATCATATAAAAATATGTATTTCTACCAACCTGCTATGCATACGTGACGTTAGTCTATCTCTAAAGTGCACTGAAAAGACTGATTTCACGGCGACGTTACGTCACAATAATATGACTTTAACGCACCGTAGGTAAATTGAAACATACATTAGAAAATAAAGTACACTCGCTAAAAGGAAAATATTTAATTTTTTAAAACTATTCGCAATAACTAGTAACATATTGAATATTAATGAATATTTAATAGACAATTATCAACATATACTTACATAAAACTAGATGAAATATTGCGATTACATCACACAAAGAAAGCCTTAAAAGGGAAAGTATTATGTACCCCAGATGCGGAAAACTGAAAGCCTCAAAAATATTTTTATGCCGTTCAGTAGTTATTTTCCAAGGTTGATGAATTGAGAGGTTTGCAAAATCTAGAACAATGTAGTCACTACACAATGTGAACACAGAATTACATAAATGTCTCGGAAAATGTAACGGAAATATTGTATATACTACCAGGATCTGTTAATGAAATATGTTGTGGGATACAGCAGGAAATTCTGAAATCAACTGTAACTTAAAAACGTTAAAACATGTCATAAAATAATTTCACAATCATATTTACAAAGAGATATGTCAAGCGAATGCTGGACATTGCGTGAAGATGGTGAACATCAAACTTAAATTTCAGTTTAAGGAAACACACCCATTTCACTTGGTCTTCAATTTTTAAATGGAAGTCCTTGAAAGGGACCATTTCCATCAAGTTTGTTATGTTTGATCTGTTTACCAGTGTAATAAATATTTTCACAGGCACTCTTTTATTCTTGGCCGCTGTCCGAAATGTACCACACTGTTTTCAATCTTGTACATCGTACATTTTTCACTTTTGTACTAGGTACATTGTGACACGCCTATATTCTTAAAGGTTTCAAATGAATCAACGTGACTGGTGAGCCTGTCCACTTGGAACTTCACTGTTTCTCCTGCCACCTCTAATGCTGGCTTTACACTAGCAAGAAAATGGCGAGCTATATGATTTCGCAAGAGTAGTTGCCAATGTAAACATTGCGGCAATAAATATTG